TACCAGTCTTCATATATAGAATCATCTGTTTTATTTTTGCTAAAAAAATGTACACATGATTCGTGTTTCTACTATCAAACTATAGTATAATTATAACCCTATTCGTTTCCATTTTGAACATCAGGGTGGATGAAAAAGAAGGATTTTTTTGTATAGCTATTGCTTAAATATTGTTGACCGAGTCGGTTTATGTTACTTGTATAAAATGCGCTCTCTTTTCATTGGTTATATAATTTTTAATTATGGTTTTTTTTTTATAAAACTTAGAATGGCAAACAAGTTGACGATCCAACTGATGGAAAGTGATAACCGTCGCCTATAGACATGAGCAGTACCATGGACATAACAGAGTATATTGTTTCGCTCATGATACCCCCCCCCCCCCCCCATGCGTTGCCATTCATAAAGACTGAGTCCTGTTAATCCTGTGTACCCAGTAAATTCACGCCATATCCCACCCTTCAAACTGAAACACAGCCATGCAAACATAACTGCTTCACGGTTGAAACACGAATGGGACAGAGGTACCCAAGCTGTTAATACTTTTTGGTTGGTTCCAAAATTTAAATGCGGTGTGACACCTATTGCGTGTGTTGCTTAGCAATTGTTGACTGTCGTTTTATTACGAAAATAGAAAATTAGTAGGTGATTTAAATATTATTTTTATTTATATATCAAGTGATATTGTGTGTTCGTTTATATATATTTTGTGTTATTTGTTTGGACCTTATAAACTGTATAAGTGAAATCTACTGACAATTCTGCTAATTCTTACTACCAATCTTTGAAGAGTTCAGTTACTGTTCAAGGAACAAGGTTCAAGGTACGAATATCTTTAAGTCAAGCAACACAAACAAAGTCGATTGCTTGGATATTGTCCGGGAATAGTTGAAGGCGGGGTAAAGAGAAATTCCCCGAAGCCCCTACTAATCCTTCCTAAGATGGTATAAAGACCTCAGATGATGATGTCATTTCAAATGTGATATACCTTACCAATTTTTCTATTCACCAGTATGTCGTTTAATTCCATGTTCAGAGGGTGATTAGAAATAACTAACATTTATTTTTCTTTGAACTAAAGAAATAAACGCCATTACTGTTGTTATAAACATGCTAAACTAGTCTCGAGCCGTATAATGAATACATTTTATAACTCATGTGTATTCAATAATAGTAAGATAATCTATGTCAAAGTTCAAAAAAGTATGCTATTCACCCCATTTGACGGTAGTCATTCAAATATTTTGAAAATTATGATCCAGGCCTGTCTGTAAGCTAGTCATTAAATATCAGTATTAGATTAAAAAAAAATGGAAATTAATAATCAAATTGTTTCTATTGACCCCGTTCAACGGTATACGTGGTTCTGTCAATACCGAAGTTTTTTTTTACGAAACTGTTTATAATGTTACCTAATGAATTTAATGATTCGGTTTTGTATTCATATTGAAACAAAAAAATAATAACAAAAGACCAAGCCGCAAAATTAGAGGTCTTCTTTAAACGCCTACCTGCACATAGTCTCTGTTATCTATTTACTTATTTGTGATTTTGATCACTGAATGTTACCGGTACATTATAATACCTGTGTAATGTGTTGTGTTTATTTTCTTTTAACCAGTAATAGTTCTTAGGCATATAGGTTTTTTCTTTTGTGTTAATATGGATCATATAGATTCAGAAATTTTAATAGATAAATTAATACTCGAATATGATGAAACTTCCATGCCTGTACCCGATATTGAATCTCAACCACATCTTCTTATATCTAAAGTAAGTCCTGTCAATGTTTTGGTAATATAAAAAGTATAGAAACTAGTATTTTGATTAATGGATACACTAAGCTTTAAATAAACAACTTGAGCACAATTATATATATTGCAAATTCAAATTACAATCTAATTTCAAAATAGGAATATAGTGATATTTAAATTATAAAGTATTTTAAAATTATGTATATTAAAAATTGAAATTAGAAAAAAATCGAAAGTTATTTTTGACTATGTTGGGTACTTTTATCTAAGAACATGCCAAGACAAGCACTACAGTTCTCCATTCTTACATATCTATATAGTTATTTTGAATTTCAAATTTTTCATTAACACTGACCATAAAGATATAATTGAAAGTATTAAATTTCACTATATTAACACATTGGTCTCTCAGATGGACAAATCAATGATTCATTGTATTCTTAAAAACTAATAACCCTCTGGCTTTACAGTTTTTAGTAACTTTTTTATTTGTTGTTCACCATTATTTAGTGCACAAGTGCTAGTGTTCAATGAGCATGTGTTATTTTTTTTATTATTATCAGTCTGTGAAACTGATGTAAGTATATGTGTCACAATTGTAGGTAAGTTACCATTTTTAAATTTTAAAATATTATTCAATAAAATATTGTAATTGATTTTAGTAATGAATAATATTTATTGAATTTATGATGTTTATCATTATTTTAGAACCTTATTTGTTTTTAGTAATTTTTGTAACGACAATGGATGAAGAAAGGATAAGAGTGCTGTTAGAATATCAAGGTTCTGATTTAAATTATTATAATAGGAGTGACAGTGAGGCACAGGAGGATTTAGATGTGTAAGAGATAAATACCTATACCGACAGATGAAACAATAATAGTCCATCTTCTTGTGTTAGAATAAAGTCTCAAAATATTTTTATATAACAACTTGGCATAATCAAAGAAGCAAGAAATACAAAAAATTCAGATAAGATTAGGAATTTTTTTCTGATAAAGTAATACATCTAATTATGAAGTATACTAACTAGCATATTGAGCAGCTTTCATGAATTTAAACAAACTAGGGACTTAAATTACTGATGAAGAGGGAATTGAAGTTAGGAGAAATAATCAAAACTGATGGCTTATCTCCTCAAATTTTCCAATTGACAATTGAGCTGGAGTAAATTTCACCTTCTTAACATTATTATCTGTGTTATTGGAAAGTCCCAATGCTTCCAATGTACCAGCAATTCCTCCTTCTCCTTCCTCCTTTCTTGATCTGTATCTAATCAACCGATCGATATGACGATTGATTGCTGAACCATTAGCTGTCTCAATTTTATAATTGGATGGTCCATTCTTCTGTAATACTACGCCTGGGCCTTGATTGTTGTAATTTCTGCACATTACCTTTTGTCCCTCATTAGTTTCTCTGTATGATTTATGTTGATTGTGGTCAATCTACAACTCTGTTTTTTATGTTTCAAACTGTCTGGATAAATTGTATCCAACATTGTTCTCAAATGTCTGTTCATTAATAGTTCAGCTGGACTTTTATTTGTAGCTGAGCATGGAGTGACACACAGACCTAATAACAAATTTGGAATTCTAATGTCCCAGGATAAATGATAAATTTTTTTTAGTTTGTCTTTAACTGTCTGGACCATTCGTTCTGCTAAACCATTGGTCGCTGGATGATAAGGTGCAATAGTAACGTGATGTATATTATTTGCCTGCAGAAATTCCTTCATTTCGCCTGATACAAATGATGTGCCATTATCAGACTCCAAAACTTCACAAAGGTCATGGGTTGCAAAAACTCGTTGAAAAAGTGCCTCGAGGTAGTTTTAGGAGGCATGTGCCTCCTAAAACTACCTCGAGGCACTTGGTACAACCACTCACTAGTGATTCTATGTCTTCATTTAAGTGTGGCCACCACACATTGCTTCTGGCCAGTGCTTTGGTTTGGACAATACCTGTATGTGTTTTATGTAACATCCGTAGAGTTGCAGGATGGAGAGTACTAGGTACTACAACCCGACATCCTATTAGAATACAATTTTCTTGCAGTGACAGCTCTGTGCGATGTTACCAGAATGGGTGTATATCTGCATCAGTTTCTTTAGCTGGCCACCCACGTTGTATATAAATACTAATTTTTTTACAAGATTTTATCTCTATTCGTCTCCCTGGCTATGTGCTCTGAATTGTATGGAAAATCTTCTGGTATTTCAGCCATTAAAAGTACTCCCAGCTGATGTTGAGGTTCCCACGGTACTGGCTGTGCTTAAACAATCTGCATTACTTATTTCAGGACCTGGCTTATATTTTATCTCATAGTCGTGAGATGTCAAAGCAATAGCTATTCTAGTTAAACGAGGTGAAATCATATTAGGCATAGGCTTTTTAGAATTAAATATACCGAGCAATGGTTTATGATCAGTTATAATAGAGAATTTTCTTCCTGTAAGGTAATTTTGAAATTTGATTATCCCAAACATAATTGAAGTAGCTTCTTTATCTAGCTGTGAACAACGCCGCTCATGAAGATGTAAAGTTCTGGATGCCATTGCTATAGGAAATTCGTCATTATCCTTTACATGTGACAATACTGCTTCAACGCCATATTCTGAACTATCACAAGTAAGTATTATAGATTTAATTATATCATAGTTCACTAGTGTTAAATCAAAAGTCAATAATCGCTTAGCCGTGCCAAACGCGTTTTGTTCTTGTTCTGTCCATTTCCACTCCTGACGTGTGTCTAATAAACGATGCAATGGCTCTAGTAGCGTCGCTTTATGAGGTATAAACCTCTCATAAAAATTATAGAGACCAAGGAAACCTTGTAGTTCTCGTTTGTTTTTAGGTTTAGGTATGTTAGTAATGGATTCTACTTTGCTTGGTGCTAAATGGATACCCTTAGCATCTATAACAAAACCTAGAAACTCAACTCTTTCTTGAGCGAACCTGCTTTTATTTTTATTCAATCGAAGTCCTGCACGTTCGATTCGCCCAAGTACCTTATCAAGTCTTTCTTGCATTTCCAGCAAAGTATGGCCACAGACGATTATGTCATCAATTAGAACTGCAACACCGGCGATGCCACCCAACAAAGATGTCATTAATCGTCGAAAAATTCCATGACATGCCTTAACTCCGAAAGCGAGGCGATGTATGGTATACAGACCCTTGCAGGTATTCAAAGTTAGGAGTTTAGATGTTTCATCGTCCACGGTAACTAGTGTGTATGCTCTATCCAAATCTAAAGTTGTAAAGTATTTTCCACCCGCGACCGCAGTAGACTTCATTTGCTGTGGGCATAGGATAGTTATCCGACTCGGTGGCTTCATTAACAGTACTGCGGTAATCTCCACACAATCTTATTTCTCCTGATTTTTTTATTATTGGCACTATTGGTGTAACCCATTCAAAAAAGGATGTTTGGCGTAATACTTCTTCACTTTTTAATCTACTAATCTTCATTTCTACTCTTTATTTTAAAGCAAATGGTACTTGACGAGCCACAAGGAACTTTGGAGTTGCCCCTGGCTTTATGTGTATAGTAACTGGTAGTGCGCGGAAGCTACCGAGTCCATCTTTGAAAACTTCTTTATGTTTAGATAACATCGTGTCTATTCCATTTTGTTCAGTATTTGACACAAAATTGATATTCATAGTCAAGTTCAGAGGAGCGAGCCAATCTCGACCGAGTAGGTTCGGTCGTTTACCTTTGGCTACAATCACACACAAGTTTTTTGAGATGTTTCTATAACGCACTGGTAGTGTAACTTGGCCAAGTAATTGAACTAGAATCTCTGTCCATGTGTCTAAGGTTAGTGAAGTAGGCTGTAGTGCATTTTGTGGCATCTGTTTGTGTACTGTATGCCATGTTTGCTCATTCACTATAGAATAACTTGCTCTTGTATCCACTTGCATACAAACTGGAATTCCAGCAAGGAATGGTACACTCCAAATAGCGGTGTGCGACCCATATTTGATATATAATAGATTCCATTTAAACAATCATTTGTTTCTTCCGTAAAATTTACATTATTATATTTATTCTTCTTTTTACTAATGCAAATTTTCTCCAAGTGCCCTTTTTTTTCTTACAGTATCGACAAATAGCATTTAGAAATCGACACTCTCCATTATGACGGTCGCCACAACGATAACAAAAACGAATGGACGCTCTTGACTGAACTGCATTAATATCCATCGGCTCCGAACCCGACGGTGACGTAGTTTAAGTCGTTCGAGAGGCGTGACAGTAGTATCCGCGGTCACGCTGGCAGATACTTGAATCATGCAGACATCTCGTCCCGCACTTTCTGATGATAGCATCTACTACATCTTGATAACGTAACTTATCTCGTTTTAAAAGTTCATACTGTAACAGTCCGTCATGCATACCATATACGAGCCGATCGCGAAGCATTCGCTCCAAGTCAACGAAATTCCAGCCAGAGCTAAGTTTTCTTAATTGAGCTATATAGTCTGCCGCAGATTCATCCTGTTTTTGATCACGTTCATAAAACTAGAACGACACTGATATTTCATTTGGTCTTGGACTGTAGTGTTTAGTCAAAACAATTTCTATTTCATTGAATGTCACTTCACTAGCTTTTCTGGGTGTCATTAATGCCAATAAAGTTTCAAACACCCGCGAACCATACACTGTGAAGAAGTTAGCTCTTTTAGATGAGTCTGTTATGACGCCATTAGCCTCGAAACAAAATTTTAAGCGGTTAAAAGTAAATGGCGCAATTGTCTGTTTGCGGATTAAACTCATCGAATTTCACTGCTTTTACGTCCATTTTATTACTTTTTACACTTCGTCGCCACTAATATGTTCTAATTATATGATATTGGGAAATAAAACGTGCTGTGTAGCTTGAATCAGTTTATGTCATGTTGGAACATGTTCTACCTACATTAGTACACTTTATTATTTAACAAAATATAAAAGTACCCACATCAATATATATATATATATATATATATATATATATATATATATATATATATATATATATATAACAGAAATATATTTCATTATATTTCATAGTTTACTTTTCCAGTTAACACAAAAATATAGCTTAATTTTGTTATTTAGAGTACCAAAAATAGATATTTTAAAAAGACCGATTTAAAAAACTGTTTTTACTAAATAAAGTACAAATATTTTTTTAGTCTTTTTCTTTTATTATAACCTCTTATTTAGAATAAAAACCAACAATACTTAAAAAATATATAATTTCAATAATACAGACGAGATTAGATTAGAGAACTTTCGATCTGAGACATCGCGCGCGAGTATATGTTTGAATTTTTTTTCCCGCGACTATAGGAAGGTTAACAATCTAAATCTTCAGACTTTTATCATGTAGGTTTTTGTGCAATTTGTGTTTTAGAAATAAATTCCAAAAACAATATTTTAGTTTAATAATTATATTTTGAATATTTTCAATTCTAGGTACGAAAACATTATATGGATTACATCATAAAAATGTTGTCTATAAACTATGAAAACAACCAAAGACTATTGAATAAGAACATCTACTTGCCCAGTGCTATCTGGAGATGTGCAAAGAAAATAGAGATGACAGCTGCACAGACTTGCATGGTAGCACAACTATACAGGAAAAATATCACAGCTGTTGTCAGTATTATGGATTTTTAGAAATTCATTTTGTTAATTGTAGTAAAATACAACATACATTAATTAAGAAATATTATATTACAGATAAATGACTTAAAAAATGATACCACCAAAGGAAAGTTGTATAGAAGTTTGTATGATTGCTTAAGGAAACCACCAGAAAATGACAAAAAATTGCAAACAATAACAAGATCAAATGATTGTACATGTCCTTGTGTTTGTAATCAACGGAAACGGCCCCGCTTATCAGAATCACCAAAACCTTACTCAGATGAGAATTTCAACAATTATTCAGGAAATGCAGGACAAACCTTGAATAATCACAAAAAACAATTCACAATACCAGTTGTAGAAAATTTACATGCTGAAAATCCTAAAGTTGCTTTAGTCACAAACAATTCTGCACAATCATTAGAAAATCGGTCAGGGAATATATTAAGTCAAGAGTCAAATGTATCATCTAAGCCACTCACCAGGATGTCTGTTGAATCGCAGGATTCTGATGAACTCATGTTACAACTTGAAAAGTTATTTCAAGGTGATACCAATGATGATGATTTATTTGAAGGTACCTTATGTGATAGTTACGATGTTGTTTCACATGTAGACAAAAAACGTGAAAACACTTTGAATAGAGAAAAACAAACAGTTTTTTTAAAACAGGATACAATAATTGAAAATCATGCTGCACAAATTAAATCACTTGATGAACGATTAGAATCCTTAGCTGGTTTACTAGTCAATAATGATCATGATAATACAATACAACAAAAGCCTGAAATAGCAAAAACCAAAAATATATCTAGTAAATGGCTGTGTGAAGAATATTTTCTTAGATTGAAATTGTATGAACTCTTGGATCAAATTAGAGATTGTAATAGGAAGAAATATACACGGGTAAGTATAGACAGTTCTCCAGTTCCTTTCCCATAAGTGTCGTAAGAGGTGACTAGGGGCACTTTCACCAAGGCCTAATTGTGGTTGCCAACTCGCCTGCTAAAAGTGGCAACTATTCACATAACCCCTTAACACATAAGTGCCGCAGGTACTAGTAGCTACTTTTTCCCCAGTCTCCTTTTTTCCCAGTCAAGAAAACGTTAAATTATATAAGCCGAATTATAGTTAAACTAATGTATGAGTAAACGAGATTTATTGCTAATCAAATGATAACAAAAATTAAAATAGACGAACTTTTCGGCTTTTAGCCTCACTGAATTTTTTTAAAATTTTTCAAAATATTCATTAAACGCTTTAAATCGATATTCGGTGTATGAAAATAAATAAAAATGAATACATTTCAAATAATTAAAAACTGCGAGGCCCCCTCAAGCACGAGGCCATCGGCGGTCGCCGACATCTAACACCGTCACTGGTGAAATTAAAGATCATCTGAATATCTACAAGTACCAATTTTCGACCCTTTCTGTCTAGAATATGATTATGCCAGGTTATTATGATAATTGCCAGGTGGCTTGCTCTTTGGTAGTTATTCTCATTGGTACATATATGGTGTTCACAGTGATGTTGCACATCCCTTGGAAGATTAATAGGTATAGGTCTTCAATAGATGCTTTCGCCAATAGTTGGAGATCTGATGAATGCTGATTCCACTCTATTGCCTGTTCAACATATATAGTATTGAACTGTTCACTTTATGTACTTTAAAATCTATATTTCAATAAATTCAGATTCACATTTATTAGATGTATAGATTTATTAATTATATCTATAAAATATGATTATATCTCACATTATATACTAGCTGCATACTTTGCCTTAAGGGGAGAAAAATATAATCGAATCCAGGATACGGTTTATCTGTGTACTTTGTTTCAATTTATTATCTGCCTAATTATTTCAACATCAGAATTGTTTCAGTTTTTATTAAGTAATAATAAGGCTTTATTTTAGTAGGTCGGTATACAAAAGCTCTTTTATTTTAAAATAATGTTTTGTTTTTATATTGCAGATAAAGGAAAAATTATTAATACTATTTGGAGATGATAGTGATGATGACAGTGTTATGTCACCATTAGATGAAACACCAGATTTTGTCATTAGTTGCAAAGAACGAATTGCCCCATGGGTTGTAAAACTTTTGACACCTTTCTATATTAAAGGCCGTATTAGAGGGAAAGCTTTATTTAAAGCTCTGGCTAAACATTTGATAAGATTAATATATCAATGCAGTCGATATCCATGTGAGTTAAATATTTTTGACTTTAGTTTTATATTATTACTATATTTTACCCGCGACTTCGTTAGCGTGACTGGGATACGTTAATTGAGATAAAGATAAAAAGTAGCCTATCTCTATTTCTAATAGGTACCAAATTTAATGACAATTGGTTATTAAATGATATTGAAATAACTAAACGTTTGTCAACCATTGCAAAATTGCCCAAAAGTGAATTAGTTAAGTTTTGCCCGTGCCATATAACTACGATACTGGTGAATCTCCATGTCTATATTATGTACCTTTGATAGTGTACGTTGACAAGATATATGCCCGTGGATAAAAATTTTATTACTGTTGATTGAACAAAAAAAAAAAAAATGGAAATAAATGAAAATAATAGAGATAGTAAAACTACAGACATTAGACTTGTGATTCATCTTTTTTTGAATTCGATTTCTCGAGTCAAGTAGTCTAAATTTTATAATGAATGTTATACTCACTTGTTACCAGGCAGTAACAAGTGAATGTAACAACTATACTTAGTAGGTAAGTACACAATTTTATAACCAATTGTCACACAAACGCATTTTCGCAAGTGTAGTAAGTATATTGTGAAGAGGTGAGTAAGTTGTCACAATTGCAGCTTTTTGGGTGTTCGTAGTTTGTAATAATTGCAGTTAGTAATATAAGTACCTACACGCAGTATGTCAATAAGACTGTCGTATACATACTTCATTACGAAAATCGGTAATTATTATTTTTTGGTTATTGTAATGTCAGGCATAATCCTTTTTTCTATAAGTAAATAAAAGAAACAAATTTAGTAATATGATCAAAAGTAAATAAAGGTTGTGTCCCCATAATTTATTTTTATCAATTTTATATTTCCAGGTGAATATGAGGTGCATAGTTTTGTATCGGATTTCTTAGAAAACCACAAGATGATAAGATGCGAAGCAGATTTTAAACAGTTTAGAATAGAAAACCTGTAACATTTCTACTGTTGATTACTTGGAACTTTTTAAAATTACATATTTTGTTGATTGTATAAAAACTCGAATAATAACTTGTTATACGTAGTTACGTAATTAAAGTTATTATTTCTGGTATCCCAGAGTATTTTTACAAGATTAAGTAGTTATTATCATTAAACTTTCTCAAGTTCAATAAAACAGTTGCAAGTATTTCCTCAAGTACATTGATACTAATACGTGTATATATGGGTTATTCCATTGAAGTTTATGGGCGTACAAAATAATTGCGAATTGGAATTATGGCCTACAATTCTTTTTTGATAGTGTCGAATAGATGTTGTTTCTAAGTTTTCTATTACTTACTTCTATGAATGGTTTTATAAATGTTTTACGAGTAGTCACAGCAGCATCTCTCAATGAAGTGGACATGGATAATTTAAAGAAAAATTAACGTAAAATATATTGAAAGATATAATTAAAGTATTTTTCTTAGTTCTAAAATAAATCAATTTCAAAGAATCTATTGTTTTGCCTTTTTATGTTCTGAACAATCATTATCATCAGATTTCCTTTTTGCTGTCTTATTAAACCATTCATTTAGTGTTTTTTGTGTAGTCTTCTTTCTATCTATTAATATCTTTTTGTTACAATTTTCTGATTTATTTCTTGAGTTGTTTACAAGAGTAGAGACAGGATGCCACGATAATAATGTGATAGGCTTCAGATAAGAGAGAGCCATGTCTGCTTCTACATTATTAATATCAAGCCAGGCCTGAAATAGTATTTTATATATTATAAATTAATTTAAAAAAATCTAAATTAGATTTATATTTAAAGAAAGTTGCATAGGATCTATATGGGAACAAATTGGTTTAATTAAAAAAAAAAAAATCAATGAGTTTTAAATTCGTTACTGATACACTAAAATAAAAACATTGGGGGAAAAAAGAAAAAAAGAGAATACTGACATCAACCTGATCTTGTGTATTTAAAATAGCTGGCATTCTGTGATGTAGCCAACTCAAAGTACTGTTTGAATCCATTGTAATAATGCTGTATGAATAAATAACTTTGTCTTCATTTTGCCACACATTATATAATCCAGCTATTTGCATTAAACAAATCCCTTTCCAGCCCTCAGCTTCTTCAAAGGTATTATTCCATGTTGTACATTCATCTATCTGAAAAGAAGACAGGTTTTCTTACTTAGAATGAAAACTGTAATCTTTCCTGTGTTATCAGTATACCAGACAATAACGAAAGTTAGGAATGAATCACGGTTTCTAAAGGCGATCATGTGGAGGTCGATCACGATGGTTTCCATGGGGAACTGTGGAGGTCGATCTGATAGGGTATATTGTTAGCAGTAGGACTTTAAGACCCTATTATTAATGATCCCTTTCTTCCTGAGTTGTATGTAATGTTTTGTTATTATTATTTTAATTTTTTAATGTTATAGTACACCTGGGTGGACTATATAAGCCTCCTAGGGAAAGTCTACATAATTAATTTTTTAAAAAACAAATTAACCTCAATTTTCTCCTCTTGTGGCATATATATATAATAAGGTTGTTTCGTTTTTGATGTTTTCTCAGTTGTTTGCCATTCATAAAATCCTTCAACAACAATAATACATCGACCGCCATTTCTTAATATAGGATTGTAAAGTCTGGAACTCTTGATGTTCTCTAATCTGCAGTTATTTGTGCTGAGTTTATGTGTTCGATAATCTTCCTGTAATTTAATAAAATAATAAAATGAATAAAAATTCCACAATATAAAGTACCTAAGTATATTTTGTTCCATCCATAAAAAAAAAACATGAGATCGAAACAGCATACCTAAGGTAGTATTCTACCAGTGAAACTAAATATTGACATGATAAGCTTTAATTGAATTTTACCTTCTGTCCTAATATATTCTAAAGTATGGATAACTTCTTAGTTTTACATATTATGATTAACAACTTCGATAATAATAGTATAATAATGGATTGAAAACAGCTAATTTAAAATGCAAAGTTGTGTCAATAAGTAAATTTTACTTTATAGCATGCAGGATATTGCTTTGCAAAGAAAAATAGCCGATTACAGAGAATTAATATGAAAACAATAAAGTATTACTAATAATAATAATAATAAATAATTATTATTCAAGTAAACTTAATAATAAGCATTTTTAATAGTATTTTTTATAAAACTACCACCCAGATCGGAATGCAATATCAGCTGAAAAGAACGGGCAAAGAAACAGCTGTTTTTTTTTCCAAATATAAGTTACAAAAAAAAAACTTATGAATAGATAAAAGGACTATCACAATCTTCGTATTTATATGAGAAAGAAAATAAAAAGCTATTAAGCTACAATTAATCATAGTATTCTTGATCATTATTTATTAATTGCAAAAAAATTACCAAAATCACAAAAAAGAATTAATAATAAAAAAGATATTTTTAATAGATGAATATGACTATACCTACATGAAAAAAAAGAAATATTTCAAATGAAGTGTTGTGAATATCGATGCAGGTACATGAATTTTAAGGAATGAATTAAAAATATATTAATTATGAGAATGGATATGGAACAATGAAAAGTGAAAATTTATTTATTTTTTAAAACTTTAATACACCTAGATAGTTTAAACGGAGCACTTAAGACCATATGGTGTTATCTACCAGTCGACAGTAGAAAAGAATAGCAGAAATACATGACGCACACTACGCAAATAAACAGAAAAACGAAATTAATATATAATACGTATAATACAAATAAAATCTATATAATACATACATAGATACATATATTAATGCTAATATTATAAAAAAGGTACAGTTTGTGAGTTTAAATGTTCGGGGTAATCTTCCGTACTACTGATCTGATTTTGAAAATTCTTTCACTGTTTGAAAGGTATATTATCCCAGAGCGCTATAGACTACTTTTTATTTTAGCAAATATATATCAAAAATATATACTCATGTTTGTTTTTCTTTAAAACTAAGTATGTTGCCTCCATAACCGGTTATTATGTGTGAAAAATTAAGACAAAATACATAGATTCTAGAACAATATAAGTCTCAAGTAACATACCATATGCCATGGTGGTATTATACCCCACATCATAGGCTTTAGTACATGTTCATTTTTGGCCCCATTCCTGTATTTATTTGCAGATACTAAGACAGGGGTGACATCAGTTGGAGCTATGTTGTGTGATGGTATATATTCTTTACCATCGTTATGTTCGTGAAGCCATTCTGCCTTTACGTATTTATTTGTTTTATCAGATTTGTAACTACATGCACATTGAAGTTGTTCTTTAGAGAGTGACCTGTTAATGTATATTTTTTACATTACATACGTGCTTACCTGCTAGTGCAATTAAGACTTACAAGTATTAAACTTTCATTCTTATTACCTAATATGTATATAACAATTTAACAAACTGAATAATATTTAATTGTTTATAATGGACAAATATCTATGACCTGAAAGGTTCAATGCAGACCTATCAGTAAATAATAAATACAGTAAATATTAATGGAAAATCATAGAAAAAGCGGCCTTATCGCTAAGTAATCTCTTCCAGACAAACTTTGGGTAGAGGATATTGAGAAAAAAGATATATATATATATATATATATATATATATATATACATATATATATATATATATATACACATACATATATATATATATATATATATATATACACATACATACATATATACATATGTATAAACATACACATACTTACTTGCACATATACAACAGGAGAGAATGACAGAGGAAGAAGAAAAAGAGAGAAATAGTAGGATTTAACAGAAGTTTTGAAGCTAGTGAGAGTTGAAGCACACCAAATATGTTTTTTATGCAACTTAGAATGGAAAGTGGTAACAGTCGCCTATAGACATGGGCAGTACTATGGATATAACAGAGTATACTGTTTCATCCATGATACTCCCCATGTGTTGCCATTTCTGAGGACTAAGGTGTTATGCCTCTGTACCCTGTAAATTCACTGTCATATCGTACCCTTCAAACCTAAACAGCCATACAAACAAAACTGCTTCACAGTTGAAATATGAATGAGATAGAGGACAGAATGGAATAGAGGCAGATAGTGAGTTCCATGACAGAACTGCTTGGTCAGTAAAGGATTTAGAACAAAAGGAAGAAGAATGAGTGGGAAATTTGAGGCGAGAGTTGTTAATATTGTGTTAGGTATGGTCATTAGCCTCACTGAGAAACATGATCTGCTCTTTTAAATAGTTAAAAAGGATTTCGCAAAGAAGAGATACATAAAATCCAATTCTTCAATTACTACAATTACAAAATCGTTAATTATTTGTCTCTATGATTATTTGCATATACTAGAGAAGATTACACTAAAAGAATTCATAGATTAAATCAATTAATGTAAATGTATAAAAAAAATTAATGTAAATAGTGACATTTGAGAACCGAGTGTAAAGTATCACACACAAGCACAAGCGGTTTAAGTGGTACTAAAAATCCAATTTTTTTAATGTATTTATGTATGATAATTAAAAAAAGAAAAAAAAATATTTACCAAACTTTTTAACTTTTTTTTCAAGATATTACTTTGTGAAATTATACCAGCAAATTGGTGAATCAATTCATCACTATCTACAAGCACTTAAATTATTATCGAAAGAATGTAATTTTCAAAATGTAATGGTGGAACAAAATGAAAATTACTCTAAGAAATTAATTCTTTTGAGTAAAAATAATGTGTATTAACAAGGGCTCTAATAATGTGTATTAACTGGATACTGCAAATTAAACAAGCATATGGCCCAAATAGACTCATGCCCAAAAAGTGTTTGCAGATTTTGTCATAGTAAGGAAGCTGCAGCACTTAATGTGAGGTTGTAGCCCACTCATACAAAAACAATATGTCTTCTTTGGAAAACACACTATATCCTGAGGAGATTAAAAAACATCACTACAAAGAAACATCTTAAAATTCCTATCATTGTTAGAAATTAGCAGTGAATTTAAAAAAAGGGTGAGCACCAAAGAACGTAGAAAAGCCGCTGTGTCACAGGTTATTCTGCCTGAAAAAACCTCTTTCAATAATAATAACCATATTAGATGAATATTTCCAGTTCCCATTTGATACAAGTATAGAAATCAATAAAAGAAATTTGACTTAATTGTTAGGTATATTTGGAATACCTACTTTTGTACACTCAGACCAAGAGACATCTTTTGATCTCATCAGAATTAAAGAATTTTTTGAGTGACTTGGATATAACTACTAGTTATTAATCGTCTCAAAATCCTCAAGCAAATGGACTAAAAATGAAAAACTATCCAATATTCACTTCTATCTCTTAAATTATCTATAAATGCATATGAATTGGTCACTACTTAAGCATTACATCGTATTTGTTCATTACTATGTATAAGCACTGGGTTCACACTACATGAAAGGATATTTTCACACCCTCAAAAGTCATCCAATAACCAATTGATTCCCACATGGCTAATGGAGAGAGACACTAATATTCTTGAAAAATATGGCAAGAAGAAGTAAATAGGATCATTTACTCAAAGAAGTAGAAGTTGTTAACATTAACTTAATTCTTAAATCTGTTTACAGAGTAATCGTGAGACTAGTTTCCAATAACACCTAATAACACCTGGCTCTGGTTAATCTTCCATCGAAAATTGAACCTGAAAAAGTCCAGGCTGAAGAAAAAATATCACCAGTTGAACATCCTCCTACTGAGATGGAAGTATGTCTTCGCCACTCTGTCAGAGATAGTTTTAAGGCCTAGGGCTGAATGTCGCAATACTATTAAATATTAAGAGAATAATTCAGTTATCAATAGTCATAGATTTTGTGTTAAACAACTATATAACATTTTCAGTTTATTAAAGCCTAAAATTCTAGCAAATCAAACTTTTATTCTTATTAAGGTACTTAATAAGAATAAAAGTTTGATATTATACATATATTACGGAACGAATTGTAAAAATACTTACAAAACTGTACGGCCACACATGCTTGTCAGAAAGTAGTTATTTATATTTATATATTGTTATATTTTTTCATATAAGTTTTGTAGTAGTAATCATAGCATTTTATTAAAGACAATAACATTAGTATGTGTTATATTTAGGTATCATATGTAGTTACGAAGACAGGTACGAAAGAAACAAACACAAAACAAGTAAAAACAAAATAGTCTCTGTAATCTGTAATAAGAGTCAATAAACGTCAAAAAACTGAAAAGTGAACTTTGATGTTACTGTCAGTGTCAGCTATACTATGTTTATATTACATAGCTATATCAGTATTAGCTATACTTTGTATAACGTAAGATAGTCCGCGTAACAATTCCTCCTCCCTCGCCATTCTAGCCTTTAGGTTAAGGTGGAGAAGGGATTGTTAGTAATGGAGACTAGCAATCCCATTGCTAGAAATATATCCTATTACGTCGACCTACACGCGGTTCCTCCTGGTAATCATCATGATTGATATATTGTTGAATTCGCCACGATGCGTCAACTGACTTATTTCATCATCATCTATCATCCTTCACTGATACCCCACCAGTGTATACTAGTGACGCAGGCGGGACAACCGTTCTATTATTATCCATTAAAAACCCTTAGATTAAAGTACGTTATAATAAATAGGGATTGGAGGGGAAGGGATCGTTAGTAATGTGGACTACCAGTCCCATTGCTATAATTATTTTTACACACATTACAATGCGTTTTAGTTTTTATTATTATTAACAGACGTCTGCCTCGTAGCCCTCGATTTGTGGCTCTAATAATTTAAATTGGATAAAATTGGATTATTCCAACGCGGCGTGTATGTGACAAGCGTGATGAACCTTACCCAAACAAGCTTCGTTTGTTGGTAGTAGTGTTGTTTTTGCAACGTACTCCTTAGTATTTTTCTTTTTGGGTGTTCTGTGGTTATGATGAGTTTTTAGACTTTCATGCCTAGTCTACTAGTACTAGTCTACGTGATAATTACCTATCTACCAATAGTATAATATATTAATCAATCAATACATATAATAAAATTGTAACTAGTCGCTGTCGGGAGGAAAAGGATTGTTAGTAATGGGGTCTAATTGACCCATTGCCAGCAATATACCCTATCAGGCCGATCTCTACGTGGTTCCTCCTGGAAACCATCGTGGTTAATTCTAGCGTAATTTGTCACGATAGGCTAACTGACCTACTTTCATCATCACCTATCATCACATCACATCATCCCTCAATATAGTTTAAGAATAGCTTAGGTTAGGAGAAATAAAGGTTTTCTCTTGCCGTGTTTTACTTTCCCATAAAATAGTCAAAAAATAGTTAGGTAGGACATAAAATTTCATAGGATAACCACAGTTGTACCAATAGGATGTAGGCTGGTACAGCTAATAGGTTCCAAATAGGGTTTTCCGCTAAAAACGGAAAAATAGTTGATAGTTTAAAATAGGCCATAATAGAGCCTATAATAGTCCTCATAGGTGCCAAATGGGCACAAATAGATAGTAATAGCATAAACTTTCCTTGGAAATTGGAAAAATCTTTGTAATGTGCGTTGCGCGGTAGCTATCGACCGACTGACGCGTGGTCCTTTTTTTTTCTCACTGTAATTGTTGTTGGCCGCAGATGGCCTTTACAACTTCACCGAACGCGTGTAAGCAGGGGCGAATGCAGATGGCACTCTAAGCCCGCGAGAGGGGAGCGACAGAGGTGTCAGCTCTTACTAATGGACTGCGGCGTGCACCCGAGGGCGCCTAAGTGGCTCGAACCTCGGCTCGGGCCGCCACACTTCGGCCCCCGTCAAGGGACGGTGGGTCGGTGGATCGTACGGGAGAGCGAGGAGACGCCGCGGACGGCGCACTTTCAGGCGTGTAACGAATGTTCTGCGAACGCAAACCGGGTGTGTGACGCGCGGTCCCGCTGTCCGCTAAATATTTATATGAGGGGGAAGGAAAGCGGGGTCATGTAAGAACCGCGACTCGCGATTCCGCGATTTATTCGCAAACCGCACGCCGCGCAGCGCACAACGTATGAAAAAACGGTTATTCGTGAGTATGCCTACCTATAATAGTTAAGTCCTATGTCAATATTGTAATAGTTTAAGGGAAGTAAAATAAACAGTCCGAGGGGGTGAGGGGACTAGTTTGCCGCCGGTCCGATGGCTAGCGGCACCAGATACCTATAAAAATAGGGCCCAAACGGGCTACCGGTCATAGCGTAGTTGACCTCTGAAGAGAGCGAACAGAAGAAACCTCCGCGATAACTAGAATCCTCGCGTCTTCTTCATTATTGGACAGAAGATCCATCTTGTTTCATTTCATCATTCAGTCCATCGAGTCACCTCATCGCTAACCGACTTCATCCTCGCTTTTTAGCACCTGGTCCTTCACCTGCAATGCGCCTGCGGTGTAGAGGCCCTTCGGAGGAGAGTGCTTTGTGCGCACACTGTGTACAAATTACTTTATTTTCTCGAGTAGGATAGGTTGACATCCGGGCTTACCAGCGCCCCGGTGCCAGCCGACGCGCCTCCCGACTCTCGGGGGCAGCGGCATCGCACAGTAAATATATAAGAAAGACTAATACAGGAGCGTTTTATAAACGCAATAGAACCCAAAACAATGATTTTTAGAATTTTTATACGTTTGTATATGCTAATTTCAGAAACGGCTTAACCGATTTAAATGCGGTTTTCATTTATGCTTTGCGGTTTGCTCCACTCAACATTTAGTGTTTGTTTTATTTCAATCGATTCTTAAATAAAAGTTATTTAAAGAATCATATATAAAATGCTATAAATTAACCGATCAGTTGAGTTGGCTGAATCTTTATGAAAGTATTTTTTTTTAGTGGATGATAATGAAATAGTAACTCTGCCTGCGCTAACGGTGTATGCTAGCGGAGCACCAGTGATAAATGATAGGTGAGAATGAAAAGGCAGGTCAGTTAGCCCATCGTGATTTTTTTTAATGAGTGATAATGGAATGGTAACCCCACCCGCGCTATTGATATACACTGGCGGGGCACCAGTGAAGAATGATAGGTGAGGATGATGCAGGTCAGTTAGTTATCGTGATGAAATTAACAATAATTGTTCACGATGGTTTCCAAGGGGAACCAGGTGGAGGTCGACCTAATATTGCTAGCAATGGGGCTGCCAAACTCCATTGCTAACAATCCCTTTTCCCCCAGCCTGTCGTGATGGATACACCTGGCATTCAACACGATGGTTTCCAGGAGGGACGACGGGGAGGTCGACTTGTTAGGGTATATTGTTAGCAATGGGACTGATAATCCGCATTACTAACAATCTTTTCCCATCCAGTGTACCAGACTAGGTATAGTAGTAGTAGTTAAACATAGTCTCTCTAATCTGTGGTAGAGTAGCTACTATAACGTAGTGATTACTTGCTCTGTGCTAGCTACCAGATTATACATTTTTATTATTATTATGGATTGTTTGCTTTCTATATTAGTTAATAATTAAAATTCTTTCTAAAAATGTGGAAATATTTATTGAGACGATTTCGAGAAACTGTTGAACGTGGTGCTAATTGTTTTGATAAACGTGGCACCACAAGTGGACTAGTCAATTCTCTTGGCAATTTACCTGAAGAAAATAAACAGACTGGACCACCTTGCAGCTGGTTTTCTTCAAGGAATTGTTGGAAGTCATTTAAGGATGACAACGGTACTAATAGTACAAAATGGAATTTCGAAAATTTAAATCATTCTTGTAATTGGCTGGGTGCCATCACATGGGTAAGATAAATGTATGATGTAGTATATTTCTGTGCCTAATTTCTTAAAAAAAATCTTTTAGTTTCTTCTTTAATTAAGTATAATTTTATGTAAACAAACTGTTTTATTGGTTTATAGAGTGGAGTACTTGTAATGGGATGGTACGCAACTCAGCTTACTTATTTGAAGAAAAAATACCATTCAAAACAGTTTCAAAATAAAAATACATCTTTTAGAAACTTGCTATCTATTTTGTACCCATATGTTTCTTGTGTTAACAAGAATCCTGCTTATTTGACTTCCACCGCAAAGTTAGAAAGTGTTATTAAAAACCTTACTCCGACTGTTCATTTGATGTCAAATGACAATCTTGGTGTAACTCAAGAAAGTAATAGCAACTCAAATGAAGATAATACATCAGTAAAGGAGTTTAAGGACATGCTGAATGTCATTGAGAATAAGTTGGCACTATCTGCAATTGAAAATGGTCAAACCAAGGAAGGATTGAAATTATTAAGGTGATTAATTCATTTTAAAAAATCTTCACAATTTTTAATAAAACAATAAACAAATGAATTAAACATGATATTGACTGTTACTGTTGTGGTAGACATATAACTTTTTTAGTATGACTAAAAAAGTTATATGTCTACCACAACAGTCAGTTTGTGGTGTTAACTTTAAGTTGGGATTGTATATATAAGGCTATGATATATCAGTAAAATTGTCCTTATTATATTTATGTATTGATTTAAAAAAATATAAGAGGTGTACAGTATGGTGTTGAATGTAAAAATGTGCCATGCCTACCCTTTCCTCATATTATAATGAGTTGAAGATTATATATTTCTTAAAAAAATCAGCTGTATTTTGCAGTTTTGCCTATATGAATCACTACATAAAGTATGTAGTGCTAACTTGGGATATAATTAATCTGTGTACTAAATTTCATTTAACACCATTTTTTATTTTTTATGTGAGAAAGTAACAACATCCTAATTTACTACCACTTATTATCCATCCATAATAATATTGATGTAATGCATTTGAAATTCATGTTTTGAAAAAAGGCTGTTCCTTTTGAAACAGCGAAGTTTCTTGCCCATTTTTTTTAACTGAAATTGCAATCTGAATGGGCAGTAAATCTCAAAAAATGATTATGCAAATTCCTCACTAGCCTTCCTAGAATTTACTGTCCTATATGTATGTATTGCTGGGGGATATTAGATAGATTAATTTATTAAAAGTGTATCATTTGCATAAATAAATGTTGTAGTCATTATTTGAAAGTTTTAGCAGTTATACTGTAACACTATTATTTGTTTTAGGTCAGCAGCAAATCGGAATTATGCACCAGCATTGTATAATTTAGGATTATGCTATGAGAAGGGTATTGGTGTTCAGATCGATGAGAAAATGGTAGGAAAACTTTTTTATTTTGTATTTTTTATAATTTTTTTTTTATATGTAAAGTTGGTAATTTTTTTAAAATGGAATTTAATATTACAAGGCAGTTTTTTGTTTGCTACTTTGTATGTGTGGATTGCAGAAGTAGGAGAACCAATAAAATAGACCATTTTTAGATGGCATCTTAAGATGAAACATGTACTAGATTTTAAGTTAGATCTTCAGAAACAACTGTGAAAATCACATTAAATTTGGTGCATTAGTTTTTGTATGATGACAGGACAAATATACAGACAGACAAAATTTCTAAAAGTTATAGTTTTAACATATATTTAAATGTCGAAACAACACACAGCCCAGCACTATTTCTTCCCTCTTCCCCAATTAATTACGCTTATGCATTTGGCTTATTTACCTAAAAATAATCTTAGCACGTTTTTTTTTTTTTCAAAAAAAGATAAATAGTATTGGGCAATAAAACATTATCAATTAATTCAAATACCTTTATATGAAAACTTTTGTTTATATACACTGTTATTATAATAAAAAGATATCTAAGACATGTTGTTTTTTTTGTAGGCAATGCAGCTGTATCAGTCTGCTGCCGCACTTGAGCATCCTGGTGCTCTTTATAATTTGGCTGTCTATTATGGACGGGGAAGAGGAGGCTTACCAAAAGATACAGAAACAGGAACTAGACTGCTGCGTTTGGCTGCTATCCAAGGGCATGAAACTGCTATAAATGCCCTTAAATCATTGGAAGAAGATATGCCTAATATTTCAGAAGATGACAAAGATATGTGGAATTTTAATTATTCACTTTTGGGACGCCATGATAATGTTGTTGCTCCCGTACATACAACACTTTTTGTTGAGAATGTCAACTATTTACGATCACAACAGCAAATGCAGGAACTTGTATTTTAATTTTCATATATCAATTATGGGTGAGGGGTTTTATTTTATGTAGACACGCAAGCTGTAAAAACATATTTGGGAAAACCTTCATTTGAGTCCAGTTTGAAGGCATAACGATGTAGTTTATATTTTTATTAAGTTTTACGAACAATCGATATGAACGAAACTTAGCTTTTATTTGGTACTAGTGACCCGCTCCGGTTTCGCACGGATGCAATATTTGTTTATGTAAATTTAAAACTTTTCAACATAAAGATTGGTATATTGGCGTGTATGAAAGTACTGCGCTAATAATCTCTAAGATTTTAAAATGAATGGCTTGTAAAATTTATTTTACTTTAAACATAAATACAATGTTTTAGGTTGAGATTTTAAAATTTATATAGTCTCAGATTTTTTTGTAAAGCTAAAAACAATGATTATTTTTGCTATAGATTTATTTTTTTTATTTCAAAGTGTTTAGGCAGCGCATACTTTATTATAGAATTTTTGCTTACTTCAATTACTTTTATTGCGATTAATTATTTAAAAATATATATTTATCAAAATAAAAAGTAGCCTATAGCATTCAAAGACAATATACCTTTCTAATAGTGAAAGAATTTTCAAAATCGGATCAGTAGTACAAGAGATTACCCCAAACATGCAAACTTACAAATTTTACCTCTTTATAATATTAGTATAGATTGCTATATTGCCATAGCAGATATATACCTTTCAATAAGTTCTGTGCACAAAAAAATTAATTACTAGATAAGAATGATGACTTCATAAATGATAATTTAATAGCTACACAATTTCTAAAAGTTCTTCATAAGTGTTCTTGACATCTTTGCTTGAAGTGGCCCATTAGTGGTCTATGTATTTAAAATATTTGTGTTAAAAAAAAAAAATACCTACACCTCTTGATAGTGTGCTATTCCACCAATTGCTTAGTCCTCATACCTTGAGTTATGAAAATAAAATCAGACGTCATATATCTGGAGCATAATCCCGACCTTAACCACTTTTCTAAATTTATTAATAAAAAAAAAGAAATTACTGGACTTTGTGCTACTATGTGGTAATCTAGTTAAGGTTGTATGATTTAATATTTAATATTGTGATTATTGTACTTTTTTCTAATATACTCAAGTTGCAAGGAAGGGTTACTGCACTTCTCTGCCAGTCTTTTAAATTTGTATACTTTTTTAATTGTCACATTACGTTACTTAAAAATGCTTATTTTATTTCTATATCTATTTCGATTGCAAACATATAATGTTTCATAAAATAAACATAAACAATATTTAAAACAGTGATTTTATGTCACAATCGGGTCGACTTTGTGAAGCCATTTTGTAAACTTATTTCAAAATTTCAATTTGATCTTCAATACCTGTCATACTAATAGTTAAAATGAACTAAATTTCTAATTTAAGTGAAAATTATTAGAAATTTATTTCATATTCATTCATTTACGGTCAGTTTATTTTATTAAAGTATCACAGAATCGACCACTCTAACTAAGCTCGTGACTTTGTTCACGAAAAATTAAAAATTAACCGCGTTAATTGATTCCTATTTTTGACTATCAAGTTATATACTTGTAAAAATGTGTGCCCTTAAATACTTATTTTTAGCTAATTATCAGTTATAATTGGTTAATATTATTACTGTTATTTTACTAACGTTTTAATGTTTGTGTGACTGTTCATATTTCAGATATGTGTAATTTTATGTATGTACAATTAATATGAAACTTTGGAATGTAATTTAGGTAGATGTAGGTAGAGGTATACTTTATTACATTATATTCCAAAGTTCATAACCAAATTCATCTAATGACGTAGAAAAGTGCGTTCAATTTTGATTTAATATTTATTACAATATAAGTGCTTTCTTGTAAACATGTAAAACATGAAAGTTAAAAGTAAGGTAACATTTTTAGTGAATTAGTTTATCAATAAAACCTAGTCCATAATATTATTTGAAAGTACATGGTATTTATCTGTACTAAATATGTAATAAATTTTCAAGTTAATATCTACTTTTTATTACCAAAATTACTCAGTACCTGTAAATATATGTTATTATAAAAGCCTTATAATGGTAAATCTTGGATTTAATTAGTAAATCTTAGGATTTTTTTAATGGGTGATAATGGAATTGTAACCTCGCCTACGCTATCGGGATATGCTGGCGAGGCACTAGTGAGAATAAAAAAGCAAGTCAGTTAGCCCATCATGACGAATTCCATCACAATTAACCACGACGGTGTTGACCAGATAGGGTGTATTGCTAGCAATGAGTTAAATAGACTTCATTACTAACAATCCCTTTCCCCTAATCTTGGGTTTACTATGATATAATGAGTATGTAAATGCAAGAATTTTATAAAAAAGAATATTTTTAGGCTTTTATCAAACTAAATAAATGAATGAAATTTATTGCTAAAAATTTGGGCAACAGTCATTATAAAAGTTATGACAAAATAATTCTTTAATATATAATAATATAATAAAATAATGTCAAATTTTTAAACATTAATTGTATTACAGAAAAGTAGTTAAATCCAATCTACCTTTCCGATCGCAAGTAAAAGCACCACAGGTCTAATTTTATTATATTTACCACGTCTCTTTTTTGATATTTATCTTAAATATAGGAAATTTTAGATTTATCGTAGTTTTAGCTTTTACAGTAACAGGTATAATATTTAAACATTTAGTGCGTGCTGCTCGTATTCGTGGTTAGACAGGTCGGTTAGATCTGCTTTATTTCTTTTTTACGCAACTTAAAATGGCAATATCAATGAAGTTGATGGAAAAAGTAAATTTTTTTGTGAAAGCCTAAAGTTTTTTTTTAATAAAATCTTTACATTTACTGACTTATGTTGGTAAATTCTAAGATTTACCAATGTATGTTCTTTTAGAGCAACTAATACACAAATTTCTTTCATGTATTACTAAAAGTAGTTAAAATATAACATCATCCTATTCGAATATTACATTACTTGATTGAAATTTTGCATTAAATTAAATTACATGTGATATATTGGAAACATAACCTTTATAAGTTTTAAAATATAGTGTGACTAAGGGAAGTATTAAAAATGTTTTGGATTAAAACAAACTTAACAATTAGAAAACATTTACTAGTATGAATAAAATATGTAATTTATTATATCACTCTAGGAGTCCAACAATCTGGATTGACTCTAACGCACTGACATTTTACCCATGTCTTAAACCATTAGCACATGAACAAAAGATTGAAACACTTAAAATGTATATGTCATGACACAATAAGTCAAAAGGAATGATTTTACATTATACGAGGAGGGATCAAAAAGTAGTGAGAACGACATACTACTTGGTAAGAAAAAAAAAAATATTGGCAGGCATAGTTCAGATACATGTTTGTAATATTAATAAAGAAAAAAAATTTCGTTTCTCTTTTGTTTTTTTCTGAATGTGTAGTCATTTGTTTGCTTCGTGTCGGAACGTGTTCTCGAAAATGGAGACCAATGAGAGTTGCGATGGCTGCCATTCGCAAGCTGGCTTCGAATTGGTTGACCACCTTCCTTATTCACCAGATCTGGCGCCTAGCGATTTTTGTCTGTTCCCCAAATTGAAAGAATACTTAAGGGGAAATAGGTACGAAGACGATAACGAGGTGATGGATGTCGTGGAGAGCTTTTTGCAGGAGTAAGACAAAACTTTTTTTTTTAAAGGAATTAAAGCCTTGAAAAGGCGCTGGACTCGGTGTGTAGAGAGACTCTGAGACTATGTAGAAAAATGAATTATTAAGTTATCTCATTCTCACTACTTTTTGATTCCTTCTCGTAGTTTTTAGATGATCTCATTAAAGAAATCACACTTACTATGTAATAATAATACATATGCAAAATAAAGGCATTTTATAGTTGTATTAAATAATACGAGTATAACAACTAAACTCAATTTATCACTATCATTATACAATGGTGACATCAAATCTGAAAAGAAGAATAAAAAATATTTATAAATCAATATTAATATTTAATGGTTTTTGTGTATATATATATATATATATATATATATATATATATATATATATATATATATATATATATATATATATATATATATATATATATATATATATATATATATATATAAAATGGAAAAAGATTATACAGATAATTCAATATTTAAGTTCAAACTCAAACTACATGACAAAAAATTTTGTATCCTGGGAAGCATCCAGTTTTTACATATAATTTACCGAGGTATGGGTACGATATCGTGCGATTTTCCTATTAAATTATAATGGAATAATAGAAGAATAATAGAAAAATGTATATAAATTAATGCAATAGTAACGGAGATGCTTTTAATAATAATAAAAAAAAATGATTTCACACAAATTACATGTACAGGGGAGCAACTCCTATTAATTTATATAAATTTGGATTATATATTATCTAACATGAGACAAAACAGACGTGCCCGTGATGTTACATGAGACCTGGTTATATTATACATGTCGTAGCAGCATAAGCTGAGACGGACCCGTTGCCCCTAAATTTTTTTTTATACAACTTAGAATAGCAAATAAGCTGACGGCCCACCTGATGGAAAGTGGTAACCGTCGCCTATAGACATGAGCAGTACCATGGACATAACAGAGTATACTGTTTCGCCCATGATACCCCCCATGCGTTGCCATTACTGAGGACTCAAGTGTCATTCCTGTGTACCCAGTAAATTCACGTCATATCCCACCCTTCAAACCGAAACACAGCCATGCAAACACAACTGCTTCACGGTTGAAACACGATTGGGACAGAGGTACCCAAGCAATCGACTTTCGTACAAAGTCTCCCTCTGGTAAAATCTGTACATTTATCTTTGTTTTGGTTTACAATAAATTTTGTAACAAAGAAATAAAACTTCATTGGCACAAGGCCAATACAAAAAAATCGCATTAACTTTATATGGCCAACAAATATTTCTGTTACACTGTGTTATATCGCCGGATATCGTACATTGTACGAATGTAGAGGGCTATTACCTGAGGTGTGTGGTATGCGTTGTGTGGGCGCGCTAGTACTTGCGCGGGTAGTCGCGGGCGGAGGGCGCGTACCGGTCGGGGTAGGGCGCGCCGGGCGGTGGCGGCTGGTACTGCGGCGGGTAGCGCGCCTCGTACGCGCCGTACCGCGCCTCGCCGCCGCCGCCGCCGCCGCCGCCCGCGCCCCACGACTCGCTGCCGCCGCCTGTGCCCCGCGCCACTATCGCTCCTGTTACGATACCCAGTCAATTTTTTTTTAACGAATGAAAATGGAATAGTTTCTCTATGTTATAGGTTTACGCTGGCAGAGTAAATGGTGATCTATTAATTTATTAAATGATGATTGATGATCATCATCAATCATCAGTCGGATTTATTAGCCGATTATGACGAATTCGCCAGAAATTAATTACTATGGCTTTCAGGGGAAACCATATGGAGATCCACCTAGATGATATACTAGAAAAGAGGCACTCTACTATTGCTCTATTTACAATTCCTTCTCCCATTAAGGAATTTGTAATACCTATGATCCTGGCTGTGGAACTATATAATAGTGTTGCGCAACGTTATAACAGCAGAATATGCTCACGGCGCGGCGATACTACATACACAATATATACATGGCCCTCTTTCGGTTTATATGTAATTTTTAAGAAAACTAAATATATAATTTATAAAAATAATATAATACTAATGACAATGAATTTGTTCTAGGATGTTTTTTTTTTACAATTTTGCTTGCTAGTATTTATTAAAAGCAAATTTTAATAATATTTAATAGGAATTAAAATAAAAAAAGTCCTCTTTCTAATATATGGATACAGACAGCAGAGTACAGTAATAAAATGCGAAGATTGGCCAATTTGACATGTTAGCCTAAAATAATACCTTTAAGTTATTTTGGTTATATTACGTAGCTTGTCCCATTAAGCAAGTGTCCGAATGAATTTTTCAGTAAATCCGTTTTCATTAGCGTACGCATATATATATATATATATATATATATATATATATATATATATATATATATATATATATATATATATATATATATATATATATATACATATACAATTATAATGTTATACCTTTAGATGGTGGCGCAGTGTCAGGATACCGACTCGAGGAATTCCAACTGCGAGGCTCTGGTTTGTTCGGAGGAGATGGCCGGTATGATCTGTTATCTCGAGATTCGTAAGATCGACTGTAAAAATTGTTTTATTTTTATTGATGCACATTGAAAATCCATAAAAAAACAGATATCAATTCTTCGTATACATACCTAGGCTCTTTAGGTCTAGTGCCTGGTGGCATTGGTTGTCGTGCATCATCATTGGAACTACCATTGCTGGGATATTTCATATTGCTAGCTGAAATTGTACGTAATAAAATATAAGATATTGCTAAAACATAACCTGGTTTTATTGAAGAGTAATATTTATATTTTATATAAAATAGTTTTCATTCATTTATTTGAATCTCATACATCATTAATCAAAAGAGATAAAAAGTATCACTTACATGAGACATGCCTGGGATATTCTCTCTTATAATCGCGATCTCGATCTCTCTTGTCTGCGCCGCGGTCGTAACTTGCGCCCATTTCGAACCGTGGCGGAGGGGGAGCCTCGAACTGTCCTCTACTCGACGACTGTTTCAAAACAGAGTAATGAAATTTATTTTAATAGATTTCTACTAAGTGTGTGGGATTAATTTGTAATTTTTTTAAAAGGAAGTTTAATTTTTTTGTGAAGATTCATAAGTATGTATTATATTTTTATGTAATTAATAACTATCGACTATTATAATAAAATATGCGAATGCCTACAGCTCGAGTTTAGCGGGCTACACAGCAAGGTTCGCGCTCGCGTCATAGCCGCTCAAGACTACTATTTGGGATCTTAGGGTGCCGAATGGTCTTGAAACTAGTCGAGTTTTCTCGACCAAATTACATGAAGTTAAACCGGTAGTAATTACATTAAAATAAGAATAGTTACAACTAGTTTTCTTTTTATAAGGTAGTGTTAAGGTTAAAAAAATATACAGGCGTAATTAGCTCTCATGGGAGAAGGCCTTAACTCGCAAATGTGTGAATCATGATTCATATTAGGCAGCAGTTACCATGGGCGGCGGCGGCGGGCGCTTGTGGCGCGGCTCGCGGTCGTAGGCGGGCTCGGGCGGCGGTGACGACGCTGGCTTGCGATACGCCGCGCTACTCTCGTACCCGCGTTTGCGCCGCTCCTCTTCTAATCTATATGTACATATAAATTTTACATTGACCAATAGTCAATAATATACCTAAACTAACACTTCTAATATTTAGTACTTCAGAACCAAGTAAGACAATTCAATTGTTCGTATATGAAATTATTTATGCCGTGTTCTTTTTATGAAATGTTCAATACGGTTAACTTAATTGAAAATAAAAATTATACTAACCTCAACTGTGCCCTCTTTAGTTCCAATCGCTCCAGTTCTAATTTCTCTCTCTCCAGTCTATGTCTTTCACGCTCCAAACGTAAAAGTTCATTCTTTTCTCGTTCAATTTTTTCTCTAAAAATAATTAAAAAAAAAAAAAAAAAAACATTAGTTGATATAAATATTTGAGAGTTTCAATCAGTGAGTGTCTAAGGAGGCTCTATTATAAAGGAATGCTCTGATCGAGTACCATTAGATTACAATATTAATTTTAAAATTTAAAGCTGTTGTATAATATTCCGCTCGTAATATAAACATTTGCATAAGATAGTCTTGTAATCGGAACATACAAAATACGATTTTGAACAGATGTTAACTTTTCATAAGGGCCTACGCGAGCACGAGACAGTTGGTACTGTAATTGCCACAGCGGCGGCGCGTACCTCTCGGCGCGCAGCTTCTCCCGCTCGAGCGCGAGGCGGTGCTTCTCCTGGCGCTGGCGGCGCTCGCGCTCGCGCAGCGCGTCCTCGGCGGCGCGCCGCCGCCGCTCCTCCTCGCGCGCCGCCCGCGACCGCTCCCGCGCACGCGCCACGTCGCGCTCCTTCTGCGATTACGCCATGTTCATTTCTATAAAACACTTGTGCCTACCGCGCCGATGTTAGTAATGTGGATTATCACTCCCATTGCTAGCAATGTGCCCTATAAGGTCCACCTCCACGTGGTCCCCCTGGAAACCATCGTGCTGAGGGGGGAAAGGGATTGTTAGTAATGGAGCTTGAGAATCCTATTGCTAGCAATATACCAGGTCGACCTCCTCGCGGTTCTCCCTAGAAACTATCATAGTTATTTCCTGATGAATTCATCATGATGGGCTAACTGGCCTGTTTTCATTCTCATCTATCACTTTTCACTGGTGCTCCGCCAGCGTATACCATTAGCGGAGGAGGGGCTACCATTCCATTATTATCTATTTAAAAAAAATGCCGATTGTCATAATCTAGTTTTACAAATGATCATCGATCACTTCGTTTAGAATAGTAAATTGCTCTACGTGCAAAAGTTAGCTTTGCACTGCAGCGGATGGGATACTGATAACAAATGGTCCTGATTTCGGAATTTCCGACGATGCCTTATTAATAGCTGATCATTTTTACTCATTTTAATTGAAAGTTGATTGTGATACTCACCCATATCTTAGAAAAAGATAGTACTTCTCTAGGTGATCTCCTTCGTTCACGGCTTCTGGTACTACGACGAGACTTATCCTGAAATTGTTTTATAATATTTAAAGTGATATAATGATCATTAAAAAATAAAATTGTTTATCGCAGTAAATGTACACAATTAAAAGCAATAAGAGGTATAATTGGTTGACAATACGAAACTATTAGAAAAGGGAATGCAAAATATCTCTCTTCAAATATGTAAAATTAAATTCATTATGTGAGATTCTTAAAACGATTTCAGTTATAAACAGGCGAATAAATTGTGTGCAAATGACGGGTATTTATTTGATCATATAGCAATAAATTAAAACATGAGAAGAAAAATCTCTGGGAGCTTACTTTATCAGATCGGTGCGACTTTTCTCGAGTGCGCGAAGTGGATCTTGTACTTTCTGCTCCTGACACTTCACCTTCTTTTTTTATTCTATTTTCATCACTTTTCTCTCCTTCCTTACCTTCCTATAATTGTAAATATAAACAATTACTGTCTTAGTTATAAAAAACAACCCATTACAAGCCCCCTATAACAAGGATTATAAAAATATTTATTCATAAATGTATTTAACTTTGCAATAACTGTTCAACAGTGACATCAGGATATAGATAGAGAGATATTCTTTATTATTAACTCTAAAAGATTTCGATATTCATCATACCTCAAAAAAATCCTGATAATTTGATAAGGTCTGATTATCTTAGTGTTTGTCCATATATCGTATATTATAATTAATAAATTAGAAGAACCTCATGGCGTTTCACATCAGCATGACGAAATTAACGTAAATAAATCACAAAAATATTTTAAATATTTCACTTGAAGACATGTCATTTTCATAATGCATGTGGTAATTAATTTAAAATAGTACCTTACAATACACCACATAAATTGACGAAAAAGGTTCATATTCGTAAACGACATTTTACGTTTTATAAGTTGAATAAATAGCAAGATTATGAAATCAAAACAACTACGGATTCCTAATTACGCATGCACAGTAAGCCATTGGGTAGTTATTATGACAAACCTCGTTTTCTTTAGTGTCGTCCTTCCGATCTTTGCTCGGACGACGGTCAATCCGAGAAGGTTGTCTACGCGATGATGACTCCGATTCAGATTTAGCTTTCTCTACAGAGATCATGCGACCATGGAGCTCTGAATGAACAGAAAAAAAGACATTTTGAAAGAAATTAAAAAGTGGAAACTTCTGAACAAATGAAAATATTTAAATATTGCTGAAGTTGAAAATTAGTTTAATTGAAGTAGATGCGAAAGTTGTATCTTAACAATTATTAAAAAATATGCTCACTTATTACAGTTACAGTATTGTGTTGGCACAATACTAAAACATACAAATATAAACTTCTTAGATAGTAGACAATGGGATCAAATTAAACAGAAATATATAGGGATATTATCTTATATTTTATGTAACAGTAGAGAGTAATGTAAAACCTTATTTATTAGAAGTGTAGATGCAAAGTGGTAGCAATATTTAGTACATATTTATGTTTATAGGTGTTGGGGGGAGTTATATTAAATGAAAAAAACTAGCTGTTTGTATTTAGTATAGAGAAGGAATGTTGTGATAGTTTCCTATAAGCAGGTGTAATCATTTTTGGGCTTTACTAACCAGTTCTGTGTAAGTTTTTGATACAGTTTTCGGCATCTTGAGCACTAGCCATTGTCACATAACCATAGCAGCGGGATCCTGGTGTTCTTGCATTAGTTACTACTTTAGCTCCAATTACCTAAAATTACGGAAACAGTAATCAGCAAATATTGTGTATTAAGACAGAAGAGTAATGTGATTTTATAATGATAAAATTATGAGTATTTACAATTATATTAAAGGAAATCCTATGGTCGCATGATACACAAACGACACAGTAACAACTCTGAATACATATTAGGTGATTTAGGTTACAGTACAACACAACATGCACAGTTGAAGATATTAAGAATGCAAATTATTAAAGAGATAACAATGTATATACCTTTCCATGTTTGCTACATAGTTGTTTTAAGTCTTTAGCCCGTGTGTCACCCGACAAACCACTGACCCATAAATTACGAGCTCCACCTTCTTTAGTGTCATCTTTCTTTTCTTTTTTATCACTTTCACCTTCCTTCTCTTTTTCATCTATAAAAGAAAGATAAAATATTATATAACGAATTTTAAAATAATTAACTATTTAAAATTTAAAGTATGTTTCACACACTTTATAAACGAGATATTGATCTTTGTAAATTCCAAGAATTTGATGCAGTTACACACATAGGTCGACTGGCAGTGGATTCTGTTTAAAAAATGTGTAAATAAAAAAAAATTGGTTATTTTGTCAAACCAACAGAATCTCAGATAACCATATACTATGGATAATTAATAAATATTACTATTCGTTATTCTAATTTTTTTTTAAATTATTTTAGTATAAAAAATTATATTAATGGAATTTATAGACAAAGATTTCCAAATATGATAATATTTTAGAATTATATATTACTAGCGATCTGCCTTGACTTGACACAGGTACAATGTAGAGACTAGTGTGAAGATGCTGCCACCCGGGACAGACGTACATAAATAACCTACTATTTTTTTGCAATATATAAAAGATAAATAATAAATATTTTTTATTTTTATTTGAGGATTAAAATAATAAAAATGGTTACTGTGAGTTATCCTCAGGAGATATATACCATCACAACTTTTTGTGGCTCTTTTTAAGAAATACTATTCCATACATTATTTTGATCCACTTGGTAAGGTTTAGCCATTTGCATTGTAAGCGCACAAAAATATGAGTTTTACGATATCACATAATAAATCTTTGAATTTCTCGGCTTCTCTCTATTATAATATACATATTATATAATATACAAGTAAACCTTCTTGAATCACTGCCTATTAATAAAAACCAAATTAAAATCGGTTGCATATTTTGAAAGATCGAAGCATATAGACAGTAAGAAGCTACTTTGTTTTATATTATGTAAAGATAGTACTAGAAAAACTAACCTTTATTGTCTTTATCCGTTTTCTCCTCATTACTGCTGAAAGAAGATGAAAATTTATAATTACTTAATATCTGAAATATTATTAACACAAATTTATAGTTGAAAATTGTATTATAGTAGTAGTAAATATATAACATAATTTATATTCAAAACATGTTTAGAGTGACACACACAATCAACTACAAAGTTTTGCACCATTACTCCACCTAGTCCATGGATGTAGCAAGTGTCAATTGCTTTGAAGAAGTGGCCCACAATATGATGTGTTGAACCATATCCTTGAAGCTTCATTGTTGATGCTTGTAGAATACAGGAGTCCACACAGGTAGAAACCCACTGCAGTACTGCCACCAGGAGTAATCAAACCATCACCGTCGACGCATGTCGCCACTGTTGTGTAGATGTTGCATGTTCACTTCATTTCGCAGACCGAAGCAGAAGATTTTCAGGGTTAACCAGTTGCTCTTCAGTACAGATTTGGTGCAAAACTTTGTAGTGATAACGAAAATGAAATGTCGAGAATATCGGAGCGTATAATAGATGCGCGGGGCGTCGCGATGAGACGTCGACGTTCACCAACCTAGTGGCGGGGGCTTCGGCGTTTACTTGATGTTGATCATCGGCAGGCGCAGCATCACCTGCTGTGGCGGCATCGGTCGGCGCCGCCTCGTTGCTCGCTGCCTCCGTGTTGGCCTCGTCCGTCGCCTCATCTACGTCAGTATGAATTATCAGCTGAGCCAGTGCAGGTCGCTCGCCACACAGGGAGCGGCCCACCCTGCCTCTTCTCTTCTTTCGCACCGATAGTTTTGAAGTCTTGACAACTTTATTCACTTCTTTGTTGATAAAACTAAAAATCTTGACCTGAAAACTTGATTGGATATTAGCACCACCATCTGGCTGTATAGTAGCATAGCAACACTGGGCCTATCCTTGTTACATATGAAATATGTTTTATTGCTGTTGAAAACCATGTGATTATGGAGTAACTGGAATTATCTTGTATTTATTTACCAAACCATATCTGCTCAATGATTTTGTAAACACCATAGTGTATTTTTGAATTGTAATTTCCATGGATAACTCATAATGTCAGTAGTCTTCTTTTGTCTTTATGCACATCTTTTGCATATATTAATCCTGTATTACAGCTACAGATATTATTTCAATTATAGTAGTGGTGCTTGCGGGAATCTTATATTCTTCTCTCATACCTATCTCCACTCTTGCACAGTGTTCCAAATTATATTATTTAAAATTTATATTAGTCTCATAAGCCATGAGAGTGATATAAAAATATTCCCGAGAGATCAAATTAATGTTGTCACCATAAACTGAAATTCTCACTTGAAACAAAGTTATCTTTTTAATTACATAAAACTATACATTGAAGCTTAATATTTCTCATATATATTTAGATGTAGTTGACACTCCTTCATTTCTGTACTTTAAATTACATATACAGTTTCAAAGATCAACTATAGTACATACATGAAATATGATTTTGGTAAACTAAACAGATTTATTATATATATTGAACTTACCTATTTTGTTGGGTTTAGTAGTGTTGTCAGTCTGAAAATCAGTAAACAACACTTTAATGATTTTGGCATAGTTCCAGTTAGGCTATTTGGTTACAGAGAAATTATAATAATCAACTCCATTTCAAATAGGTAAAATATTATATATATATATATATATATATAAATATATAGGTACATCTAGTTGGTTGGTTAATATAATATTATTGAGAAATAAAATAATACACATAATAAATATATATTTAAAAAACAACAAAAACAATATAACTATAATTATATGATAGTTTATATAATAATTCTTCTAATCTATATCCATCATAAATCCATTAGTCAGTTTGGAACTAATTGATGGCAGTGTAACAGTGACCTTGAAGACATAAAAACGTACCTCTTCATTGAGCAGTTCATCTTCGCCAAGATCTAAATTGATGCTATCTTCTGCGTCTGTGTTATTTTCAATTTTGTGATCATCATCACATTTATTTTCTTTCTCTGTACAGAGTTTTTTGGCTTGGGTGGCTTCAACATCATCTTTGATATCTCTTTTTCGAGAAACCTTTTCATCTGTATCCATTTTCTCTTCAATTTGCTTTTGTTGTTCTTCAGATTTCCTATTGTCCTCACGAGAATCAACCTGATCAGTCTCTTCTTCCTCCCCGGCATCATCCTGGACAATCATGTCTTCCATGGCAGGAGTATCTTCAGACTCTTGTTCTATCACACTCTCAGATCTTCGTGTTTTTTTTGATGGTATTTTAGTATCTGTGGCAAGTTCAAATTTATATGTTGTGGGATCTTCTCCCTCTTCTTCTAAATGCTGAAAATAGATTTTAATTAAATAATTACCACGTATAGACAAAATAATATTGTGATATAATATTTTCAAAGAATCCAACCTTAGATAGGCGCTGTATGAGTACACCGCGTACGCCGCTTTTGTCTAGGTTACGTTTCTCTAACTCAGCGCGCAAATCGATAACTCTAAGATCATTGAGTAAACGCTTACGGTCCGACATCGCCAGACGTTATTTTAAGAGTGTTTCTAATAATATCCACAGAGTTATATATTTTATTTGCACAAGAAAGACAAAATTTATGAAATACACATGCAAGAGAACGACGTTGAAAAGAATTTCAAGATGGCGTCGACCAACTTACAAACACAGATTAGTGTTACAAAAAAAGTAGTCTAGTAATGTGCTTCTTACACGGTCATCAGCTAACTTAGTAAAGCCAATTGCAATTTTTTTGTGAACGACTACACTAGTGATGAATAAAAAAAGAGATAATCTATATAGCGTATTATATTTTATTTAACGTCAGACAGAGAGTAACATAAAAAATATCCTAGCAACGCGTGGGCTCCATAGACCAACATAACACATAAAACCTACTTTAGCAACTAACCTGCTATGAGTTGACAAAAATAGCAACTGATTGTGTATCTTTCGTGTTCTTTTTAGTAATTATATTTGCCTAAGGCATTTACAGGCAATCATATGATTTACAGTTTTTATTTTATCATTTCTTATATGCAATTTCTTTTTCTTAGGTGATACAACTCGCTAGTCAATCTCTATTCTTTGGGTACGTAATACTCAATCTATGTATTTCATTCATAGTGATGTTATTCCTTGTTCTTAGATGATTATTCGCTTTATGAGCACTTCCAAAATGGTAGTCATTTATCATATTGTAGACTAGGCAGCACGGTCTCCGACCTTAGCCTGTTCCACAACGGAACAAACAAACTAAAAAAAAAAGGTAGTCATTTATGTTGATTTGTGTCATATAGGTATTTTGTGGTATTCTCAGTCACATGATTTTGATCGTATTTAATGAAATTAATTAATTTCGTTAAAGTATTGTTGTTTATTGTTATTTGTTTTATTTGTATTTTTAGCATTTTACAATTCATTTATTCTTCAACATGATTTAAAATGTCTATTTGCCAAATCGTAGGATAGAATGTTTAATACCTAAGCTTTGTTTATTTCATCTAATATCTACCGTTGGAAATTAGAATAAATCATAGTAGTTTTGAATAATCTTTTCCAAATTTTGAGCGTTATCCCCAAGTTCAAAAGATGACTTTGGAAACTAAAGGTAATATAAACTGCGTTTAATTTAGTATGTGAATGATTTACAGCAAGTGCGACCCCTATCCAAATTTGGTAAACTTGATCTAAATACAATAATCTAACACCAATTAACTAACTACATTGATAATAGAAATTTTCAATTAACAATATAAATATATTTTGTTTTCCAGAGGATTTGGAAACAGATAATGTGGATGTAGTATGTGACTTACTGGATAAACTTGTATTGAAGCAACTGCATTTGATGGAGGAAAAAATGGTGTGTGAATTAAATATAGAATCCTGTATCAACAATGGAAGTATTCATTTAGCAAAGTCTCGTTATATTATGGGTCAGAGTTCTGTTAGCACAGCCAGATTACCTATGGAAAGTAGTCCAGAATTCTCTGCTTTGACCACATGTGAAACTACAGAGGAAGATGATGTGCAACAATTGAAAGTGGTTGAGAATAATAATAAGAGTAAAGTCAATCCAATACGCTGGTTTGGTGTGTTAGTGCCACAGAATTTACATAAGGCACAAAGCATTTTTCAAAATACTATAAATGTTGTTGTAGAATGTGTTAATGTACAATTACAGTTGTTTGAAAATATGCGAAACATTGATGCATTGAAAAAATATGTTTGTTTAGCTAAATCATGAACTAATAATAAACAGTAAAAAAAAGTAGGCAAGACAAACTACACAATCTGTTAAAATAATTTTATATATTAAGAAGTGTTGTTGTATTATATTCCTAGGTAAATATTAACATTGTGGATTAATGCTATTTGTATAAACATGTTTCAAATCATTAAAAGTTAAAATATATTGTTTTTCCTTTTATGAAAGTTTTGTTTACATGAAATTAACCACTTAAATGAGACCCTCTCGCATATCAAATGTGTTCTGATTTGTTCTATCCTGAGTACCTCTTGCCACTTATAAATATTATGTTTATATTTTTATCTGGAGGGATACCTTCTCCTCTGTTTGTATTTCATAGAACTTAGTGTATATTTATTGTATGCTTATTCGAATTTAGTGTGTGTATCAATGCACCAGTTGACTTAATTTTACAGAAAAGCCCTTGCATTAAGTGGTTAAAGATATGTTTGCTTGAGAGAGCCACTTGTTTCTTGTATCTTAGGTTGTATATATAGTTATACTTAGGTAATTCTGCGTTTACTTAATTATGATTATTGCTGTTTATATATGGTCCATGTCTTGCATTTTGAGTGTATAATCACTTAGATTATGATCTTAAGGGGCAAGAAGATCAAAATGTGAAGCAGTTGTATCTATGAACATGAAATACATGTAATCATATAATTCAAAATATAGTATGCTTTTAGCATTAAGTCTATCTTGTACACATATACTACCGTAGAAAGGGGCTATTTGCAAATCGTGGGGTTAAATGGAATTTCTTAAATAAAAGATTTGATTATCTACGTATATTTTTTAATTTAGCAATGAGTAGAATATTTTTTGTCACCTGGTAACAACGACTAATGTCAATTTTTTTTAAATTTTTGAGTTTATAGTTAAGCATTACACGAGGCAGCAAGTGTTTAAAAAAAATAATAATTTTCGCTTTTTTTCGTAAGTATTTAACTTTCGTCTGGGGAATGTCGAAAAAGCGCGGGAAACGTTTAAAAAAGCGGGAGTATTTTTTGATCTTCTTTAAATTAATTTTATTTTTATTTATATAAGGATTAGTCTTTTTTATATATTGTGTATTAGATTGTATATTTAATTGTATATTTTGTAGTAATAGTGTTTGTTGCTGTAAATATTGGTAAGTAAATTACCTATATTAACATTATGGATCCACCTATAGACCCTGGGGGGACAACCCCCCAGGTGTCTGCAAATATAACTATTCCATTCAATAATAGTTTTGATATATTGGGTGAATCTAGTATGGACACAGATGGTTCTAGCGTTGCAAGTTCTAAACGTAAGCGAGTACGTGGTGAACGTCGCATTTGCAAACATTGCAATAAAAAACGAAGGAGGCACACCAAGGGTCTTGAATCTAAAATTAAAGATAGTGATTGTCAATGTATTGAAGATGAGAATCAAACTCAAGTATCAATACCAGTTGTAAACAATACCGAGTCTGTTAAACCTGCTTCTCCACCCAGTACTTTAAGCAGAACTTTGTACAATGCCGAGGATATAGCACCTTATGTTGTTCATGTACAAAAAAATGAAACACATCCTAATGATAACACTACATTACATCCTATTGCATTTGGTCGCTTTTTACACACTAATAAGATAAATAGTGAATGGTAGCCTCAAAAGAATAGGAAGAAACCGTTTATCGCTTTCTTTCTCAAATTTTGAAAATGCAAATGCATTTTTAAATAATAGTCACTTAGAAACACATAATTTTAAGGCATTTATACCTTCTTTCCATGTAACCCGTATGGGAATTGTGAGGGGTATTCCTAAAGATTGGACAGAAGAGGAAGTAATCCAAAATATATCAGTACCGATAGGTTGTGGGAAAATTCTAAAAACCAGAAGAATAAAGAAAAAGACAATTAATGAAGGACAACCAAGTTTTATTAATACTGAAACCATTGTTATTACTTTTGATGGACAAATATTGCCAAAAAGAGTATTTATGTTTTACACATCATTAACTGTAGATTTGTACATTTACCCTACTATCCAATGCTATAACTGCTGTAGGTTCGGACATGTCAAGATGCAGTGTCGTTCAAATCCTCGGTGTTATAAATGCAGGCAAAATCATACAGGTGATAAATGTGAAGTAGATGAGGAAAATGTTTCTTGTATCTTGTGTAATGGTTCTCATTCAGCAATTAGTAAAAAATGTCCTGAATATGCACGTCAGAAAGCCATTAAAGAAACAATGGCCCATAGTTGTGTTTCTTATGCTGAAGCATCAAAATTTCATCCTCCAACTTCTAAACTATATTCAGATGTATTAACATCATCATCTCCTTCCAATAAATCTCATTTTCAATCTTCTTTCCTTAAAGAGAAATCATCATTACCACATATACAATCATCATATAAAAAAACAGTTACACTTAAACCACGCTCTCCTCAAAAAATACAACAAGGATATGATCGTTCTGCCCATGAAGCCATAGTTAAGGAATATAATATTCCTGCTCCCTCTAATGGTTGTGCATTATCATCAAATAATATTGACAATAATCAATCCATCATTGATATTATTCTCATGCTTATTAAAGTGTTATCGCAATCAAAAATGATACAAACAACTTTACCACCGTCCAACGATGCCATGTACAATGTATTTTCTCAATTATTAACTTCTCACAATAGATTACAAAGTCCAAATAATTCAGTGGAACTGTCGTAGCATAACAAATAAGAAATCAGACTTATTTTATTTGATTAATAAATATAATCCTTTTATAATAGCTCTACAAGAGACTTGGTTAAAGCCAGGATATCCTTTTAGGATTTCAAGCTTTACAAGTCTCCGTGATGATAGAGCCGACGGATATGGCGGTGTTGCCATATTGGTCAAAAACTCCCTTCCTTTCTCTTCTTTTTCGCTTCCTGTATATAGCGGCATTAATGCAGCTGCTATAATTATAAATGGTATCTGTTTTGTTACTTTATATATTCCTGATCCTACATGCCAAATATATTCACAACTAGAACAATTATTTTCAATTTTACCTAAACCTTTTCTCGTAATGGGCGATTTTAATGCTCAGCACCAATCGTGGGGCAGTTCTACTTCTAATTTTTATGGTGGAAAACTCCTGACGATAATTGACACTTACAACTTATGTATTATTAACTCAGATGTACCGACACGTAGAACTGCACCGAATGAAGGGTTTAGTGCTCCTGATATTTCAATATGTTCTGCTGATTTAGCTTCTTCACTGTCGTGGTATCCTCATTCCTCTACCTTCGGAAGCGATCACTTTCCCCTCATTCTTTCTTTTCCAATTTCCATTCCCTCAAGTCGAAAGAGTGGTCCTCGACTTAAATATAATTTATCAAATGTAGACTGGAATATTTACAAACAATATTTAGATAATAAAATATCGGAGTTACCTATTGTTTATCATGGAAATGAACATCAATGTTGTAATGACTTGATAATTAATATGAAGGAGGTTGCTGATTTATTATGAAAGTTATTTTGAAAGTTTTGGCTAAAAAACCAGTTTTATTCCCTACTATGGAACTGTATGTGCTCTGTCGGGTTTTAACTGTTCGACAACTATTTATTTTAAATACTATGCTACGTAAGCATTCTGAAATACCGTATGAAGTAAACCTGATAATTTCGAAGCGTAAATCTTATAAAATTTGTAAAATTGAACCTCGACGCACTGCTATAGCGAGCCGACATTATCACCATATAAGTTCCTCTCTATATAATAAATTAAACAAAGAATTAGATATATATCCTTTACCTTACCATAAATGCAAAGATAAATGTTTAAAATTTCTCCAATCCTTATCATATGATGATACAGAAGATCTTATTAAATTTTCCGAATGAATTTACAATTTTTTTCACACCTGCATAGATACACAAATTCATACACACACACTCATACACACGTTCACACACACACACACACAGACATACACACACACGCACACACAAACACACACACACATTTACGCACACACACTTTTATTTTGTTTTTCTTTTTTTTGTTTTTAAGTTAACATGTAGGCTACTGTATTTAAATTATATATATTGTTTTTAATTATTGTAGTTTATTAGTATTGTAGTTGGTTGCTAAATATAACAAAATGTCTTCATTGATATATTGATAGCTACCATAAATGTCTGTTTTGGAATCCTGCAATGAGGAGGAGGGCGTTGATATTCGCAACACAGTTTTATACTTCTGCGGATATCATCGTTTTTCAATAATATTGTATCCACTGTTTTTGTTCCAAATAAAGAATTATTATTATTATTTTTTAAATTTCACTAAAATTCTCATCTCCCCTCTTAAGGAGAGGAGATGGCAACTAACCCCCGGCAGAAGCACAGTCGGCCGGGGTTCAGGGCCCCAGGGAGAGAAACCGGCGTACAATGCGGGCAGAATCTAAGAGCACCGCTTTCTGCATCTTTCCCGGGAGTGAGCCGCCTCGGAATCCCAACCGTCTGAGATGTTGTTCTAGACTGGTTGGGATAAGACCGTTCACCGACATAACGATTGGGATGATTTCGGTAGATGTCACCCCCCACATTTCGGTCACCTCGTGAGCCAGGTCGAGATATTTTCTCTTCTTCTCGGTTTCGGCTTTCACGAGGTTCTCGTCATGCGGTATGGTGACATCCACCAAAAACACCCTCGAAAGTGCCCAATCCATCACCACGATATCAGGTTTGTTCGCAAGAACGGTCCTGTCCGTGATGATGGATCGGTCCCAGTAGAGCCTTACGCTGTCGCTTTCGAGGACCGGCTGGGGCTCGTACTTATAGTACGGCAACCTCTCATTCGCGAGGCCGTACTTCAGAGCTAGCTCTTGATGGAGTATTTTGGCTACCTGGTTGTGTCTGTGCAAGTACTCAGTGTTGGCAAGAGCTGAACAACCCGAAAGCACATGTCTGAGTGACTCTCCGGGATGGCGACATGCCCGACAGATGTCCTCAGTGCCATCCTTCAGAATGTGCTTTCGGTAATTGTTCGTCTTAACCACCTGATCCTGTATTGCACAGACAAAACCCTCGGTCTCTCCGAAGAGATCACCGAACTGTAGCCAGTGCACGGAGGTCTTCGTGTTTACGTACGGCCCGTGAAGGGCTTTGAAGAACCTTCCGTGCAACTCCTTCTCTTTCCATACGGCCTCCCGC